GGAGACCTTGAGCTGAGCTATTTTACTTTTGTTAGTGTTTATATGCCTCACAGCATTTTTTTTCCTCCTTGCTCTACTCCTGCTTTCTCAATTTTGTAAATTCTGACAATGTACAAGATTTGTAATCCCCTTGTGGCAATGTAGGCACATGCAGTATTTGAAGAAGCAGCAATGTGAAACCTTCTATTAGGTAGGTAATGCCAACTATTAAAATCTTTTATTCTTTTAAAAAAGAAAATGGCAGTCTCCACATGAGTGGAAGATCCAATTGCCTAATTAACTTCAAATCCTGTCACATATTGCATTTTGTGGGTATCTTATTTTCTGGGGAAACTCTCATTTCTAAACTTTTTCAAAAGAAGTGTATAAGTGAAGTCCAAGCAGAAATTGTTTGTGTTTAAGATTGTATAAGTGTAAAGAGAGACTTTGTCTGGAAGTCTGAATGGGTTTTGATGAAATTATTGAAGTTAGATTAATGCTCATTTATGACCAATCTGGATTTCCCAGATCCTGATCATAAATATTATTGTTGCATGTTTCCACTAAATGATTAGTTGGAGCTTTTTAAATGTATTAAGTTAGTTGGATAATTGTAAGTTCTATACTTAGGTTTGTACTCTATACTTATAGTTAAATTCTGGGAAAGCATGTTTCATTTAAAAGTTTTTTTATTTGTTCCTATCTGTCTTCTAAAATACTCATATCTAAAGATATTATTAGTGACAAGAATGAGCAATAAATATAATGGGATACCAGATAGTTCTATAAATCATTCAGACATCAAATAGTATCATTATTTGGCTTGTATTCTTTGAATTATCATACCATTCCATCATATCTCAAATATGTCTACCTACAGAATTGATATAGAATAGATTGTCAAACTCCATGGGAATAGATAATCAATAAATGATCATGATACAAAATATATCTCAGTAATGTAACGCCAATATTTCAACAAAATAGTAACACAATGACATTATTTATAGCCTTATTTTTACTTAGAATTTTAAGCTTTAAGAACTATTTAAGTATGCATTTGCATAATACCCATAATATAATTTTACTGGATTACTACAACAAAACATCAGGGAAGATATTCTCTTTGCATCCATCTTATATTTGGAAAAGCAAATAGGTTAAGGGAATAAACAAAGTTTACAGAACTAGTTATTGAATAGTCGGAAAAAGAACTGGACCATTCTAATGTGCTAACTATGCTTTATTCTCTTTGGCATATTCTTCATGTAATCATTAAGAATATACTATTATGTAATTACAGTTGGAAACATTAAAAAGGGAAGCAACTTTCACAAAATCACTATTGTAGATAATGGACCAAGCTCAGAGGAATTTAACTTTCAGAGCTATGTCACTTGTGTTTAGCTATGGGTAAATGAAAGAAAGATTAATAGCGGGAAGAGAGCAAGGGGTAGGGGGAGGGAAGGGGAAAGAGAGGTACTGGGGTCTGAATGTATTCCATGCTTATATAATTATGTCAAAATAAATTATACTGTTATTTATACCTCAAAACAACCAATAAACAGTAGTAAGAAATATTTTGTATTTGTTTAGAAGCATTTGAAATTGTTGATATTTCCCTGACTTTGACAGGGGATAAATTTTTCGCATGTAAAAGTTACTACAATTTTTTAAAATATATTGACTTTACAAATTTTTGCTGTTAATTGTTATCTAAACTTGGTGGGAACACTTCTGCATATTGAGTCTCTGTCAACTTTTACTATGAAATGATGAATCTGATTTTTAATGAGTATCGATAACTAATCTTTTTATACTGAATGTCATATAAATAAAATTATAAATCACAAAATAATGCTTTATCTAATTGATTTTTATTTTGCAAATTGAAAAATCATGGTGTACATAAGAAGTTCTTCACTGTTTAGAAACTGGATATCTGTATGTGTGGAATGAATGTAGAGATGGATGGGAAGTATGAGATGGATATAAAGATGGATGGAGATAGAGTTATTGAACAAGCCACACAGGAAGGGAAGAACATGGGGGGGTGTATAAGAAAGCACCCCTTTAGATTTATATGAAGCATAGAGAAAATAATATGAATATTTCTATAAAATCAGTTTTCCAAGTTGAAAGGAAAGTGCATAGTAAGGACTTTTATTTGACAATCCTTAAAACATGTGTCTCTATAAATACAGAAAACAACCCAAAATACATAATAAAAGTTCTGTCAATCAATAATGTGCATATATGTGAGTGCGTGTGTATGTATGTATATGTATATATATGTATGTGTATGTGTATATATATATATTTTACGTGTAACAACGAGTTTTCAGTATTGCATTCTCTCCACTGACTTGACCAGGTTGGCTAAGCTGATTAGTAGCTTTAATGTGCTGTGACTGTGTCTAAATTTTCTTCAGCCAGGATCTAGAGTCAAGTCCTTCAGCTAAGTCCTTTTTCCTAGACCTTCCTGATGGACAGACAGACATTGTCAGGAATTCACCAGCTGTGACTTCATAGAATGTTGTTTGATATGTGAGAATATATTGCTTATGGTGAACACATTCTCTGACAAGTATCCAAAGCAAATTTAGGTGTCCATAAACCCACTAAAGATGTTTTTTTCTGTAAGCTTTCTTTGTTGTAATAATTTTAGAGATATCCAAAAATGTTCCTTCCCTCTTTGGCTATAATTATTTCCCTATCTGTCCTCTTTCCTCCTGTGCCTTTACTTACCCACTCTTATAATACCATATTAAATGTTTTCATTTGGTTAGAATTGGGCATAACTAATTGTCATATGCTTTTTATGGTCTAATATGATTTTGAATTTTTAAAATTCTCATAATGAAACAAGTTTGAACATATCTTAGATAATGAAAGAAAATGTAACCATCATTATAAAAAAAAAATCTCTGAGAAAGTTTTGAACAGGAGAGATGAAAACAGTTAAATGGGGAAAAAAGTGGAAGGTATTAAGCTTTAGTAAATATAGATGCAATAAAATAGAAATTTAGAAATTTGAATAAAGGAATGAAATTGCACTGTGGACATGAAGTGTGTTAAAAACAACAACAAGGAAATACAGTTTCTTTGTGACTCACATGTGACATTATTTCAGTGAATACTTAAAAGCTGTACCTCACTTCTTAGATTTTTTAAAACTATTCCTTTATATAACCTATTTATTTACTCTTGAAGTTGTCACTGATTTTGTTCATACTCTGATGTGTCAATAAGGCAGTACAGGCTTTTTCTAGAACCAAATTTTTGTGTGGTCCACTAAAAGATAATCAACTCTTGAAGTAGGATCTAAATAATATGAAAAATTGTGGTTTCCTTTATGTTGTGTATTCCTAATAATGTTTGAATAATATATTCATCTTACAGATTTCCATAGAAATACATTGGCCTTTACCAAACTATTTCATATAACTCAGATAACCCACAATTTCACTTGTTCCACATGATATTAATAAATATTCCAAAAAACAGCATTCCTTGGTTTGCAGAGCATTGCAGGTGCTATATATTTTCCTTGTAGAGTTTTATAGACTTCGTTTGCATATGAGTGGCTCTGAGAGACCTTACAGTAAAATAATAATACCAACGATGCTGTTAAACCAAATCTATTTTCTAAACAGTTTGAGAAATGCCAAAATATGTATAATGCATTATGTGGTTGAATGTATTAATGGATAATGTTACACAGTTACATCGGTTAGGGTACAACCAGATACCACAAACAGAGTGTCTTCTTGCTTCTACTGTTTATATGACAAAGAATTATATGGTCTTGTCCTAAATTTGACAACTATAGACTGGAAACTAGATTATTATCAAACTCTTTTCCACCACTTCTCCCACATAAATGAAACTTTTCTGTTTTATTGTTGTTGTTTTGGTTGGTTACCAGGGATTGAACTCAGGGGCACTCAACCACTGATCCATATCCCCAGCCCTGTTTTGTATTTTATTTAGAGACAGGGTCTCACTGAGTTGCTTAGTGCCTCACTTTTGCTGAGGTTGGCTTTGAACTTGCAATCCTCCTGCCTAAGGCTCCTGAGCTGCTGGGATTATAAGCATGAGCCACCACACCCAGCTTTTTCTATATTTTTAATCCCTTTGTTTCAATTTTGTTTTCCCCCCTTAATCTTTTTAATCCATGACAGTAAGACCTCTCAGAGGTTGGATCTAACCCATCATTATTTAGGAAAAAGTTTTACTAGTGCCAGTCTATCTGTGCCTGCTTTCCTGCCTCACCGTCCAGCTCTGCCCTATTCACAGGAAATTTGTTTGATATGACAAGGTAACCTTCTGAATTTTTTCTTCAAGAAGCCCATCTATCTATCTTGTGTTCAATCAAATCTATTCCTAGATTTCCCACGTGACAGGAAATACTAATGTGTGTCAGATTGTCAAATGACATTCCTTTCATGAGACACAGGGATATTTTAATATAGAATAATACTTACATTGCAAAGGACTAGGTCTTGTGTAGTATAATTCTAATCCCCAGAAGTAGACTCTGATTTAGTTCCACAGGTTCATATCGAATGCTCTGGTAGACCATAGGGTTTGATACCTTTTGGTCTCCTAGTCTTCTGGGTTCTATACATTGAGTTTTTAGGAGTGACTAATGACAAGGAAAAAAGAAGTACAGATATCTTTAATTTGAGATCCTGTACTAGCACGAAGAAAGTAATTTCTTTGCATTAATTCACATGGAATTAATTTGTTTTGTTTTGTTTTCTTTTCTTTTTGGTGTATAAGTGGTGACTTTGGTGGCTATGCATACAATGTCTTTCAGGTCTGTTATCCAGCAGTAGACATGGTTTCCAACTAGTGGCGATTTTGATTTATCCACCACTTTTTTACATTCCACCTGTACTCCTGGATCATTCTACCTTCTGTCTCCAGAGCAATCCTAAGGGGATACTGTCAATACATTTGGTTGGTCTCAAAGATTGTTACCTAAACAGTAAGCCAGTGCTTATCTTTGCTCACAGGGGTGCGTCTTGACAGAGTACGTGGAGGTCGGCAGAAGTACAAGCGCAGAATAGACGCAGAAAACAGCCCATACCTGAACCCTCAGCTGGTTCAGCCAGCCAAAAAGCCATGTAAGTACCACGGATGTGTCTGGCTTCCCAGAGCACGAAATCCTCCCAGTTGGCTCTATGTATATCCATGTTGGCATGCCCAGCTCTACTGACTCCAAGGATTTCTCTTTGTTGGAGAACAGTAGTTCTCTTCCCATGAACTGTCTGTGAGGAGCAATGGCAACTCAACTAATTATCTTTTATTTTTTTCTTTTAAAGATGTCTTTAGTTTTTTTCCCTTACCTTTTAGCTTGTCATTTGTGGAAGCATAAGCATATTAATGCAGAGCTTATATAGTATGAATTTTACATTTACTGGTTATCTTTATTTGCGGAGCTACATAAAATGGATCATACTGTGATCATTAGTTCATTGGAGCTGTTAGTTTCGGATTTCACAAGAAAGTGATTTTTGTAGTTTTCACTAACTAAATGAGTTTGGCTGCTCAACCTCCCAATGAAAATACATTAGGGGCCTCATTAATTTGGAGCTATAGAAGGTTAACACTCTAGATAGCAATAGATTAAAACAAGAATGAACCCTACTAATAACAAGCATAGGTTGGTGGTTCCATCTCAAATGCCCTTATGGGCATTATGAATTGTTTTTAAAGAGCTCATGGTTTTATGATGCCAGGTTGCAATTTGATAGGATGACGGGTACATTGCTAAAATGCAAACCCCATTCTCCTTGTCATTAACTAAAAAGAGCTGGAATATAGATTGAAGCAATAACTGCATCCCATTTTCTGAAAAATCAGTTAATAGCTGTAGTGCAACAGAGCTAGCAATTTAGGGTGTTTATGCATAGAGTTCATACTAGGCACTGGGAAGTGCTTTGAAAGAAAGAATTCTCACAGTTAGCCCTCTTTGTCACAGAAGACACAACACACTCTAATCAGAGGAAGTTGCCTCTGCAGCATTCTAGAAAAGGAGTGGGGAATTTTTGATCTGCTTTCAAGGGAGGAGAAAGTATCCACTTCTAATTCAGATTCTCCAGGAGGGGTCACTGCTGTGCATCATCCATGCGAGCATATGGGAATCTGTTAAATAAATAAAGCAGACCCTGAACTGTAAATGAAAGGACATTTTAGCTATGTCAAAGGAAAAACAACCAGTTTTACATAAAATTAAAGCTTAAGTGAACATATGGCATAGTTTCCTTTTGCCTTTCCAAAAAACATTATGTTGATTATACCTTCAATTGTCCAATCTGGCATCCTCTCCTCAGCCTACATAAGCTGTTTGGCATTCTGCAAATACAATCTAGGACTGCATTAAGCAGATTTTGCACATTATAATAAAAAACTTTCTGATAATACAATAAAATGCAATAAACACTAATGCTTAATTTCATTAGAGGTTTAGGTTTAGTTTTCCTTGATTCAATAATACACAGATTGCCCATTTCTCATTTATTTTATGCTAACATTGACTGAAGCCATTGATAATTTCCTTTATGGAAAGAAAAATGAGCACCAGCCTATTTGTAAGTCAACACAATAGAGGAATATCTATCGTTTTCTATGTAAACCTGAGAAATTGGGAAGTGGCTTGTCAAGTACCTTTAAGAAGATTACGGCAATTTCAGTGAGCTCCATTTGTCTGAGATAAAAAGGACTCCTAATAAATCATTACTCATTATCTAAGGGCCTCTGTGTTAATTTTCCTCAGTCCATCCAATTAGTGTGTTTTTGTAACAAACATTTATAAAACTTAATTTTCAGATCCTGTCAGATAAGCGTCAAGAGACTGTTGTGCATGGGCTCTGCTGAGAATGTGGTTGGGGAGATTTCCGCACCCTGACTGATGTTTGTGTACTACAAAGGCCCAAGATTGAAAATTGGGTTCTATTGATTCTAATTAGGGAAACATTAAATAAGATTTACCTAGAAACAGTGCTGCCGGCTATTCCATTTTCTGAATGCTGGGAATTTCTGAGCTTTAACGAAATATCTCTGATCCCCTGAGTCAAATATCCATTGACTTGGGTAAAACAGGTTGCATTTTACCTGTGTTTAAAAAAAAATCTAGAATGGTGATTTCCTTCAGTTACATGTTTGTGCCCTTTACCATTGCATTTTCTTCTAATCCTGAGAATCTAGTAGTTGCTGACAGGTTTTGCTGCATTGTCAGAGCAATGAAAGTTGAAACTTTTCCAAGCGAAACCAAAAATACAGGGTGTTATTTCTGTAGCATATATGAGAAACAAATGTCATTCTTTGTAGATCCTACGAATTAAAAAGAATGCATTTAATTTTTAATTTTTCTAGAATGTATGGTATTTGGGAATATTTCCTCCCAAATCCACATACAATGTTTAATGATTATTGACTATTATTGCCAATGATGACTGATTCTCTGGTGACTATTTGAAAGAAATATAATTCATAGCCATATTAGTAAATTTTAAAAAACATCATGCTAGGAAAAGTCTCAATTGTAGCTTGGATAAATCTTGTTATTTCATGAAAGAAAACTAAAAGGGATGCTGTATTTAATTCTACATTATGTGCAGTGTTGTCATTTTAGGTTAAAAAAGTTAAAAACTCAATGAAAGGCAAATGGTCTCATAGATACAGTGGAAACTTTGACTTTGTTCACAAACAGCCTATTTAATATCCTGGTTTTCTAGAATAATAATACATAGAATATTTAAATATGTAGGTTTATTCTCACCCATTCATATCTGCACACAGAGAAGAAAGTATAAAATCTAAAGTAACAGAGAGAAATTGAAAATGGGTCCAACAAGAAAAATTGTTCTGTTAGCCAGGATTTCCAACCCCTTCCATAAACTCTCACATGCCCCTGAGGAATAAAACACATTTGATGTGAGGCTTTCCATTTGTCTCTAGTGTTTATTTTATGAAGGATTCTTAAAACATATATCACAAATTTCAGACAGATAAATCTGAACCAGAGAATGAACTAAGGACAACAGATGAAAATGGAGGATTAAAGAATTAGGCACTCAGAGGAGAAAATACTGCAACATTTAAGTAGGAGTATTTTTATGGAAAAAAAATTAAGCTATATTTCGAAGGTTGACTGGGTATCTGGGGAGGGGGAGAAAGGAAAGACTTTCTATTGAATGCATCCCACAGAGATAGAGTTATATAGTCAGTAATTCACCCAGGCAGAAGGGCTCCGACCTTTGCTCCGCTTTAAAGGAATTAAGACAATTAATGACTTTCATGCCCATTATGACTATGGGCATTAGTAGTTCTCTGCCTTCTGCATTACAGTCTATATTTCAATGGTTCACTGTGGTTTTTTTACTTTACAGCTATTGCATACTATTTAATCTGATTTCCCAAATCCCACTTAAGAATCCGATAGCAAACCCAGAAAGCATCTAACTTCTTTTATCTGTTTGTTATTAAAAAAATTCACTACAGGACAGATGCTTCATTCCCGCAAAAGCAGGTAAAGCAAAGAAGAAGAAAATATGTTCCATTGTGTCTGCAGTGGTGCCTTCCTTGCTATGAATTTTCCTGAACACTGTTTAATACCTATATATATTAAACCACAAATGTAATATTTTGAGCTTATTGTAGGCTATTTGAATGATTTTTTTTTTTTAAGACAAAGAATACTTTAGGGCTTGTAAAAGAGGGATGATACTGCTAGTGATGCTGTAGTGCTCTGGTCTGATCCTGCAGATAACAAGATTGTCTCACATCTGTTGGTGGCTGAACCGGAGAAGATCTATGCCATGCCTGACCCTACTGTCCCCGACAGTGACATCAAAGCCCTCACTACACTGTGTGACTTAGCCGACCGAGAGTTGGTGGTTATCATTGGATGGGCGAAACATATTCCAGGTACATTTTTCTGAAAATAAAAGAAAAAGAGAAAAGAAAAAGGTTGACATTAATTCTCTGGGTTTTATATATATATATATATATATTTGGGCAAATTAATCATTTTCTCATAAGATTTTTTTTGAACTTCCCATTTGTTTTTTATCACACTTAATTTAGAGCTTTGCTGATTTGATGAATAGAATCATAAGCCTTTATATATGTGTACCACCTTAAGCTCTCACTTATTTTTCATATATGAAGGTACTATTGCAAGTATAAGATAAAGAGAATTTAAGTCTTAAAGACGTAGTTTTATTGTTTTCAATTCTGAGCCATTTCCTAAGGTAATGATTCTACTTTTTCTCTTCACTGTAAAAAATGTTTTTGTCAGCATTAGTCTAATTACCATTTTCTTCCTTTTAGGAATTACTTATTTTGTTTCTCATAGTGGCTATTTGCAATGAATTTCCCTTTCTATTCATAAACTTGGGTTTACAATTAGATACTTACAAGCATTTATATAGAAATTCTTAAAATATTGAAGCGACATGGGAAATTTTTTCATGTGGCAATTTAAAGTTAGTATTTTAAAATATTCTATTATATTTCTTTCTTGTCTTATCCAATAATGTCAGTAAACATGTACATGATCACAAGTTTTGAGAATTTCAGTATCCTACTTGAATTATTTTTTATTTGTTTGGACTTTGATCTTCAAATAGTTTATAAACAAGTTTTTGATGATGAACAATGTTTTTCTGGTACAGTTAACTTATTTCTGTCTCCTTAAACTAGTTTGTCTTTATGCTTTGAATGCTACAGTAATTTCTTTAATCAAATTGATGGAAGTCCCTTTCCCAGCCCACACTGAAACCAATTTATTGGTCATGATACGCCAGCTATGTTGCTAACAGTCGTAACGAACTGTCAGGCGATATCGCAGTGAAGCTAATTTGAAGTCATTAGGTGTGCAGCGTTCAGGCGACAATTTGTTACAGTGGTTAGGAACACAGCTGACATTTCTGAATGGCTTTGTTCAGTGTAGTTCTAGATGAGGCCAAGCAAATTGTAAACTAATTTAAACATCACTCTGTATTATACCAGCTACTTTGTCTTACACTGTTTGCTAATAAAGCACCCCAAATTAAGTCAAAACTAGTTAAATAGGTGAGCTGGAGTCTATTCTTTAGAAAATGCCCATGCAGGCATTAGTATATCTATAAGAAAGATAAGAATTTGATAATGTGAGTGATAGTGCATTTGGATTGTAACTACGTCGATCATACAAAAATGAAAAAAGGGAGAAATTTACTAAAAGATATTAAAATATTTGGTTACCTTGATAATGGGAATATCCAGAATTTGCAAAACAGGACATGAAAAATTGTTTGGAAGGCAATTGTTATTGAAGGGTTTTATAGTAGAAGCAAAACTAACATCTGTTGAAGTATCCTTAGACATTTCACATAATCACATAATCAATATGATTTATATTAATATATAGCATATCATTATTACATACATGTACCCATGCATATACACACTTACAAATATATATATTTATAATAAGATTATTCTAATACAGGGTTTTTCAGCCTTGGTACTATTGATATTTGGGACTAGATAATTCTTTTGTAGGCAGTTGTCCTGTTCATTATAAGATGTTTAGTGGCATCCTTGGCTTCCACCCACTAGATGCCAGTGGCACCCCTAATGAAAATGTCCTCAGACGTTGCCACATGTCTTCACAGGGATAAAACTACACCAGCCTATCCCTCCTTCCCACAAATGAACCATTGTTCTAACCCAGGAATCATGTATGATTATCATCATTTCAAAGACAGATTTGAGGCAGAAAAGTGAAAAAAAACACTTGCACAAGTTCATCAACATATCCAGTGCCTTCAAAACATATATTCAGCATTGCTTCCTGGGATAGAATTAGGATATTTTAGCCTCTAAGTTGATTGCATTTGAAAAAAACTATTTCAAAATATTTAGGATGATAGTATTATTGTTGTTAGTGTCAAGAACATGAAGGGGTATGTCACTATGAGTCCAGACTACATATTACTTCTGCAAACTTTGCTCAAGTCTCCCTGAAACAAGGGATTTTTCAAGCCAGTATTTTGATTTCATCCAGACATGTTATAGTAAAGACTACTAAAAGTTAACAACTTCTTCCAAACCTTCTGGAAAGGAAAAGTCAGTGATAAACTTTCAGGTCTGGTTGTGCATCTAAGTAGAAACGTCAGCTTATAAAGGAACTTATTAAAGTAATGGGGCTCTAGTGACTTTTGAAAAGATGGTAACTTTAAATAACTATGAGCAACACTATTTTCAGTGGTGGAAACAATTACTATACGATTATGTGCTCAGTCTTAAGCTGAGGCTTAGAGTTGGTGGGGACTGATGTTATTCTCTTTCCATGGCAAATGCCAGAGGAGGTCACTGTGGAGTGATGATTCACAGCTCTGATTTTCGTAATATCCTGAGGGTATTTTAAATGATTGCAAGGAATATCTTGCTTTTCAGAAGGGGATTAGCAAAACAGGAGTTAAACAAAATTCTTTTTAATTTTTTAATGCATGTACCATCCAGTGTTTTGAGGTGGTAGAGAGGGTGCTCAGCCCTCAAAATATGCTGGTTTACCCTGGCTTCATGAAAACAGAAAACGACACAGAGGTATGTAGAGCACCGGACAGGGAGGTAAAAGCAAAGAGAACATAAAGAATGAAGTCACATTTCTGCGTTGATACAAGTAAAATCATGTTCTTGATATATGAACCAGTCTTGATAAGTTAGGTCAGAGTCAGAATTAAAGACTAGTCAGAACTGAAATTTCCCATCTTAGTTTTAACTCCACAACTCATTGTTTTTATAAAGCTTACATTAAAAGGAAAGCAAACTCTTTTTTAAAACTAAACTAAAATTTGAGTCTTTGTTATCTTTCTGCTTCTCTCAGCTTGTGTATGCACACACATACTCTCTTTAAAGTTTAGCATCTCAGATCAGATCAGTAGCCCTTCTGACTGCTAAGAATGAGCTTTTGTACACTTGCTTTTGCTACAGAAAAAGTGAAGAATTCAACAAAAGAAAACATTGAAGAAAAATACATATGGAGTGGGGTTTTTATCAGTAAATAGAATTAGTTGACTTACATTAATAAATCACATAAATGGGAAAGTGTGTTGTTATGAAACATGACCGTACTTTATCTATAGAAGAAAAAAGATCACAAGGGCTTTAGAAAATGCTTGACTTTAGCTGGAGGAGCATAAGGGCACAAGAACAGATGATGGTGCCCTAATAGCCCTTTTTAAGAATGACAGGGCCCCGCCATTAGCATCCTTTTATATCCTTGGAAATTGCTCATGCCTCGCTTTTCTGGTTCCTATCTGCCTGACTCTTTTTTATTTCTCTTTCAATTTCGTCCGCGCTCGGATAAGCGCATGCTAACACAATATGATTGAGCTGTAAAATGGAACGCTGTCGCCTCTAATCTCTTTTATGTAGATACGGAGGTACTGCACACTCGACTTCATTCTCTCCCCATTGTTGGCCTTTTTTAGAATGGGTTGCCAAGTAATGGAGGCTCTGTCAAATATTAGAGCTAGGTTTCACAGGATGTGATAAGACGATTATCAGCCCAACAGTCAGATCTATTATTGTTCTTGGTGGTTGATTAAAATATTATTATGTGCTGGAACTTTGTTAACAAAATGCAGAAATGTGCTTAGTCAGATGGTGTTTTATTAAAAAAAAAAGTGTAACCCATATTAGCTGACCTATATAAGTGGCTTAAGTGTATTTACAGATCTTGTCAGCTTACTTTAAAAGAACAGAAAGGTATTTGAACAGTTAAATAAATGGATGTGTTTTAGATTTTTTTTTTTTCCTTTTTCAATGTAGTAAATGTTCAGACTGACTTATTTATTTTTAACATGACAAATTCAACAGTGACCTAGTCATGAAAAAGGACTTAGCTCAAATTTGGGGACCTCTTATTCACATTATTAAAAGAATGCCTATTATGATGCATTAAACAGGAAAAGAAAAACCTATAATTTTCTTCATATCAAGTGGAGGCAGGAGATATTAAGCTCTAAAAGAAAACCACACAATTAAGATGATGTTATAAAATAGTCTTTAAGTATATTTCTTCATGTAAGAAACAGAAAGCTAAACTATAGGAACCAATATTTTCCATTTACCCTGAAACACTTTTTTGTAAAAACGTGCAGTTATGAGAATGTATCAAAAATGACTCATTGGCTTGTCTTTTTTATAATTTTCTCAGAAAAAGAATTTAGACTTGCCTACAATGATGGAAATCTGTAAAGAATATGAATTAAACTCTCTGTTAGGGCATAAGTTTTTCAAAAGAATAACTAAGAATATTTGGACAATTATTGCTAATGGTACTGTTTGGAGTTATACTTATTGTTCAAACAAGTTTTATGTAGAGGCCAAATTTTAACACCACATTCTTTCCCAAATTAAGTTATAAAAGTTTCACTTTAGCAATACATATTGCTAGATATTAGTGTATAAAATGCCCATCTTAAGCTACTTGTAGCATCATTAAGTGGTTAGGATGTACAAAAGCACATGAAATAGGGCAGAAATAATTACCACATAAGATTATATTCCCATTTGTAATTCAAAATATATTTCCATGTGTTTCACAAGCGATTATGGTTTGATGGATAAGAAGCAGGGCTTGGTTGACTAATGATGAATCACACACCATAAGCAAGTAGCACGTAGGACTGGGGTTGTGGCTCAGTGGTAGAGCACTTGCCTAGCACGCGTGAGGCACTGGGTTCAATCCTCAGCACCATATAAAAATAAATAGAATAAAGTCATTGTGTCCATCTATACCTAAAGAATATATATATATATATATATATTTTTTTTTTTTAAAGTAGCATCTGATAGTTTATTTTGAATTTATATGATTGGAACTTGGTAAATGTGTATTAATTAATTGATTTAAAAATTTTGTTGCACTAAAC